ATTATATAAAGTGATAAAACAACAAAGCATCTCAAATGTGATCTTTTTGGTTAAATTTTCCTTTTGTAGTCACATTTTTTGTGACTCAGTATGGAGAACGCTGGCTTAACAATAGCTTGTAGAGGCTCTTAAAGTTTTAAATCTGGACTCCTTTCTGTGTGACTAGTGATGTCAATCAAAACCCTCTAATCTAGAATGCTGTAAAGAGGGACCCCTGCTTTCTGTAGTTTATGTGGAAGCTACATAAATAACAGTTCATTTTGGATATGTTGGTACTCTTCTGTGAATGTTTACAGACCAAAAGACTGGAGTCTTAATATAAGTCTTATATATAATATAATATTCTTCTTATCATGCCACTGAGAAGAGAAATACTGAAATTTTTGTGCTTCTAGGATATCCATGGCTAGAAGCCTTTAGAAGCAAAACTAGACACATTTCTGTCAGAAATGGTATTGGTATGAATCTGCTTTGGGTAGGGGAACCTGCACTTGAGGAACACTTAACATGAACATCAGTATGCATTCAGCCACTATTCACAGAATTAACACTGTTTGATTTGACTATTTTACCTGTTAGGATACTTGCCAAAACTATCCCAGATTCCTATACGGAATATTTTTGGTTGTAGATAAGTGCTTGCTAACATTCTCAGGTGGCTACTGGAGACATACCTGGAGGAACAATGTAACTGTTTCAGACCAGACATAAGAGTGGACATCACAGTATTTCTGTGGTGTTTATCTTTGTTACCTGGTTTCAGTATAGCCCATAATCAGTTATTCCCTGAGTGACAGACAATATTTCAGTTTTCCTCCAAGATGGCTAAGCTGGAAAAGAACATTGTCTCATAGCCCTGGCTCTCAGGACTTTGGCAGGCATTATCTGATAGTGCTTATACTGGTCTTTAAGGATAGCAGTATGATTGATGGCTAAAAAGACACAAGAAAAATGAGGATTTCTATCACTGACCTTCCAATGACATTGTTGGAAGAGAGTGATAAATCAAGCTGCATGTCTGGGGTATGTACTTCATTTAGGTTATATTCTGTAGTCTTTGAGTAAATATTTCTAGACAATTATATGACAGGGAAATTAGTTTACGTTTTTCCCTTTGATGGGAAGGTGGCTACTGTTACTTCTATTATTATTATAATGATAATTGTTAAACATTTCCGTTGAACATTTCGATAGGTCTTCCATCAGAGTTCAGAGAGATACTCTGAACAGAATCATTCTCTGTTCTGTCTTCCTTCTTCATCTTAATTATTACTGTCCTGCTCTGTAAATGACACACTATTTCAATTAGCAGTTGTCAGCCAGCTGATAGTGTCTGTTTGTCACAAGTCTTGTGACACTAGTGAGTCTTGACCATTCTTTCCTATTTTGCTGTATGCAAAAATTTTGCTTTTGATGACCGGATGCTGTGCAACCATCTTTGAACTTAGTTCTTCCAGGGTAGTGAAGGAGAATCCTAGAAGTATGCCAGCACCCCTTGGCTGGTGAATGAGTTTGCCACAGTTCGAGTGAGCCAGTACATCTTTCTGGATGTAGTATCCCCTGTGAAAGAAGTGTCTTGGAATCAGTCTTAGTGCTGGACAAGCCTTTAGTGTAATGTAAAAGAGTACCCATGAGCTAAAATAAAAAGTTTAAGAAACCAGCTGCTGTGCTTTTTTGAAGATGCAGGATACTAGAGCATAATTCGCCCCACAGTCATGCTTCTTTGGCTAGTTTCTGTCTTCTGCTGACCTGGTTATCATGGTTATCAGGAAAATTCACACTGGTAGTAGATCTGTGATGTGGATTTGAGGACATTTTATCCATTTTATGGGTCGTGGTTTATCTCTTTTATGGTTCAAGGTGAAGGCTTCTCCTTATATCCTATTTTCTCAATATGAATGCCAAAAATTAGCAGCCATAGTATTTGGCCTTATCCTTAACGAACTCTTTCCTTTTTTCTTGTGAATGAAAATATTCCTCAAGCTTTTTAAGCTGTAGTATACATTTAATATTTTATAACATGTATGTTGTATACCACATTTTACACAGAAAGGTAAAACAATTAATGAACTAACTGCTTACTGCCTCTTGACAGAAACTATTTAATGGCAAATAGTCTGGGAGTGCAATGTATTTGGAATGAGAGGTTCATAAACATAGCATAGTGGCTGAGGGTAGAAGAATAGGGCTATCATGGTATTCTGTAGATGTCCAGACAATAAAATAGTGTAGAATACAGGGCAAAGCACTTTTGTTTCCTCTAGGGAAGTGCTCCTATCTTAACTGCCACTGTAGGAGAGTTTTAGATACGTCTCTGCTCAAGTTCCGTCAGAGGTCCAGTCTAACAACAGTACTTGAAGCACATATGCCCAGCATGAACTGACAGAGAGTTCAACGTATAGCAGCCATAACCACCTTCTCTCAAAAGCATGATCTGGAGTGATGAATTTGTTGTCATTTATATAATAATACGTAATTTTTAATATATAAATTATGTAATAATGTCAACCACAAGGATCTCCTCTCATCCCCATCCCTGCTATCAGGTCTGATTCTGTTGGTGTGGGGGGTTGACTTTGATGATACTGTGAAGAACCTGTTCAAGGATCATACTGAGAAAGAGAAGGAAGTTTAGTCTTAAACAGGAAAAACTCAGACTTTTCCATAGTCTGTTTTTGTGAGAAGGAATATACCTTTAGGGAAACAATAGGAAAAGTGAGAGATGGGGAGAGGCAGGCAGAATTGAGTGGGCTGATAAGTTTGGAAGTTGGAAGCAGTGAGTGATGAGAGTAACAGTTTCTGTTGTGAACAGGATGAGTATCATCAGCTAAGAATCATGATTTGGAAAGTGATTAGGAAGGCTGAGAGCTCAGGAATAAGACAAATTTCTCTGAGTTCACTTATGTGTCTTTGCAGAGAAGTTAAGCTTAAAAAGAAATAATTGGTTTGTTTTGCAGTGATGATTTCCCTTTTGCACTTAGCATAGAGAGATTTAATTTTGGAAGCATGATCCTAAATGTCCATTAGTGCAGCTATAATAAACATTCATCTGTTTATTCCTTAAGCAGCATGTTTCCTAGAGCTATTCCTCCTGTTCCTTACTCCACAATTTCTCATGTCAATCAAATTATCAGTAATAATAATCACAAATCCCATTAGGAACTAATTACATATATGCAGCTTCAAGTTAGTTTACCTCTTTGCTAACATTACCTCCAGGATTTTTAACTGCAGTCAGTTCAGCTTGCTTCCGGTTTCATTAATTATAGTTACTCATCTTTACAAAGTGTTAAGACCTAGAACTCATCTTAATGATATTTTGCTGCTTCAGAAGTAAGAAGGACCTATAAAATGGAGTATCTGTCTTTATGTTCAGATCCACCACCCACACTAAGGCCTCCACCATTCTCATTTCAAATCTGTTCAGTTCCCAAGTGACATGGTGAGCTCTCCAGGTGGTCTTGTTTTTCTTGTGTGAGTATGTGCTGTAACTGGGGTTGAGAATGGAGTCTTGCTGACAAAATGCGGACAAAGATGGCATAAAGCAGGCTGGAGAGTGGGTCATCATAAGGATATGGGAGAGATACTTCTGAAAGCTGTTGCGTGAGCTCACTTCTATCCCAAGAACATGAAGGGAACAGGGTGTAATTCTTCCAGTAGAAAGTCTGAAAAACAGTAGCTTGCTGGATGTGGTACACCTTGCAAGGAAACTGGTTATGGACGGTACCAAAAAAGATTAATTTATTTCAAATATTTCAGCAAATTAGTTTTTATATGCTGTTACAACTGAGATAAAAATTTATATCAACATGTATGTGTTGGTTCATTTCCATAATAATCTGTGTAATTTTGTTTACTATATGCATACATCTCTTTCCCAGACAGATATGGAAATTAAGGTGAACATTTGCAACCAACAAGTAGAAAAAAATAGTCTATGAAGATATATCATAATGTAGCCTATATTAAATTGAAGCTTGTGGAATCCAACTTGCTGACTTTAAGTGTTTAATGAAAACAGAATAATTATCTCCTCTCTAGGCAGGTAGAGAACTCCTTTGGGATTTAAACACATGCATCAGGAGAAGAATAGACCTGTCTGTTTCTGGCAAGTTCACACCCACAGGGCTATACTTCGTTTCTGCAGTCTGGATAGTTAAGAAAAATGCTGTTCTGAAAAAGAAAATGAGAACAAATCCTAAAGCGTGATGTTCCCTCTACTCAGTTTTAAGCAGCAACTGTACTGTACTTTACTTGTAAAGCTATCAATTTAAAAAGCATTCCTGAAACTCCCATAAACTCCTTCCCTTTCAGGGAGAGGTCTTTTATGACTGTAAAGGAGTGGTACAAAATTTTAGCTGATTGAATTATAAACATCTGGAAAAGACAGTTTATGTGGAAAGTGCTGGAACATCCTTAACTAAAGTGATGTCACAGGATGCCACTTCAGTTTTATAAAATAAGTCAATTCAAAGTGGCTTAAGGTGGATAGAAGACAAGGCAGTGCTAAAGGAGAGAGAAATCGTGGGGAGGATAAGCGAAACTAAAGATGTTTCTTCACCACTAGTTCTTACTAGTTGCCTGTGGCCAGTAGAAATGTTCTCTAAAGCAAAATGCCTTGGGCTGTTGATTTTATGCAGGCAGCTTCCTGTCTTACAGATCAGCAAAGCAACATCTTCCTTTTGTTTTTACTTAAAGTCAGTTACTTCATTGCTCATGTCTTTTATAGCCACAGGAATCCATATAAAGTAATGATAACTTGTCTAGATTTCTTTCATATGTACTTATGCCTTCCTTCATCCGATAAATATGCTTGCATATGCGTTGGGAGAGACTGTAAGTTCCTGGTTTTTGTAAGGTTGACTTTTATGTCATTATAGTGTGGTGAGTTTATTGTGTTTATCTGCCTTTTAATTTCATCTGGAGAAAAAAGAAGTCATTTTCCCTCATCATGTATCTTCTGCAAAACCAATTTAATACTAAGTTCTTTTATTGTGCAGAGCTGGTTATTTGCCTCAGAATATTCCTTTGGAGATTATCAGATACCTTTCAGAGGAGAAGGATTTTCTGCCTTGGCATGCTGCCAGCCGTGCTCTTTATCCTCTGGATAAATTACTGGACCGCACAGAAAACTACAACATCTTCAATGTAAGAGATAGAACCTTCCTCCACTCCCTTCCACTTCTCTCCCTTCTCTTCCTTACACCCTTGTCCCTTCCTTCTGCTCTTTCTTCCTCCCTTTCCTTCCATTGCCAAGAGTTGAGCTATTCCCCAGTCAACTGTAAATGACCTAGGGATATTAGCTTTCTTCCTAATTACTCTTTATTTAAACATAGCAATTGTTAAACTTTGGCTCATTTGCATTTGAGCACTGGTAACTGTTGTTTGAGGCATATATGATTAGTAGAAGGAAGGTAATTATCCTTTCTATAAAATATTATGACAAATAAAGTATTTCACTTAAAAGAGCCAGAGTAATATATTTCCAGATTTTCTCTTTTGAGGAGCCCCACAGCAATATTTAGATTGATGCCCAAGCTCAGCAAGGACACCAAATGCAACTGAACAGGATGCATGCAACTGAAGTGAAGATTTGTAGTCATTACTTAATCCAAAAAGCCATGGTGAATTCATTGCAGTTACCTTAATTAACAAGGATTAGATCGTCATTGAATCAAAAGCCCTTTCATAATTGGGTCCAAAGGGACAGCAGTAACAGCTACCAGTAGATAATTAAGATAGACATGACAAACATTTTAACATTTTACCTGAAATTAAGAAAAAAAGATTGTAGCTATGCTGAAGCATGTTGCACAAATTACACAGGATGTGATTGGAGCTTGCAGCCAGTGGCAATTAGAAACTCCTCAGGTTTTTTATTCACTGTGAATTTTATTTAGTCTACATATTTTCAGTGGCCAACATACTGTAATGTTATATGAAGGAACTCTCTAAAGCCTGAAATTCTTAAGGGTGCTTTTTTGTTCTTAAGCATATATTTGCTTGTGTGTGTGTGTGTGTGTGTGTGTGTGTGCCCACAGAAACACATGCTCAGAGAGCAGGAAGCTAATCGTGACTGGATGTATGTATACGTAGAAGTACATACATATGTGTGTGTATATCTATATACACACATACACATAGCTAGCTGCTGACATGGAAATTTATTACTGTAGAACATCTACTACAGATTAATAACACTGAAATTCTTTATGAACTGACCATGTAGGCCTACTTGCAAACCACAGCCATAATATAAAATAATGTTGAAATAATTTGCGTGTTTATCCTGTTAAATGCACAGAAAAATTCTTACGAGTCTGCCATTGCTGTTTACTTTTTAAACATGGCTGTGTAGAGAAAACACAATTTTAATAAATAAAACCAGTAAAATTTACAGCTGGGTTGTGTTTTATCAGTGCTGATGAGAGCTTTGAAAGCCAAGGTGATAGCAGAGGAAATAAAGTCTTTTTAGTCATAGGGTAACACATCTCCTACAGAAAGCTGAACTATGAATCTCATTTTGTGTTGACATCATATATACATGCCTGTGCATCCGCAATAATAAAATAAATGCTCTCCTGTCTGGTTCTTTATATCTCAGCTCTCATTTTCAAATTGGTGAATTCCACTGGCAAAAGATTACACTGAATACAATAACAGTGGTTTTCTTCACAATTGGTCAGAATATGGAACTATGTCTCCTGTGTAAAACACAAAAATAACTGAAATAGATTTTGGGCTTATTTTGTTCTTTAAGCACACCAAGAAACCTAAACTTAAAGCATGGTATCATTAAGTGTACCAGGCTTATTTGCGGTCACATTGTTCTGTATTCTGAAGTCAGTTTACTGTACTTATGTAATGTAATGCCATGGCTCTGAATATTAAAACAATATTCTTTTAAAAGTGAACATTCACAGTGTAGTCAAGGTTGGCCATAGAATAGAAATTAAGCTGTTAACACTCTTGTGGCTTTCCAGCCATATATTGTGAGTTCCAAATGCATGTAAGAAACTTTTTTAATTGATAGGTTTTATAACAATAAATTGTCTTGTACTAGTCATCTAATCAAATATCTAATGTACAGATTACTTCTACCTGTAGCAGTAAAGGAAGATTATAGTGGACTAGTTGTTTTATGAAAGGCAAATCAAAATCTTTGGAAAGTTGAACAGTATTTGAGGGTAGAAAGAGAGAAAAAAGTCAGTAGTATTTCAATTGCGAATAAATAAAATAAATGTTAACATTAACTATACTTTTGTTTCCCCCCTCAGGAGTATATTTTAAGACAAGTTGCATCAATGTATCTCAAGCTGGGATGGCCAACGAGTAATTTAAACAAATCGCTTGTTCAAGCATCATACCAACATGAGTACTGTTCTATTTCTTTTTCTATTCTTTGTTTGCAGGAGATAGTTTTAATAATGCACTCTCATAAAATTTGGTGTCATCTTCAGCAAGTCATTGTTTCCTAGCTTTGTCATTGTTCTGCTTTTCCTTTCTGGGTCAGAGAGAGAGCAGCAAGATGCTGTGAGATGAATTCCTCTTGCCTGAATTTGGAGGACATGATTTCCTAAGCCTTAATTTAATATTTGACTGCACTGGATATTTAAGAACTTGTAGTCATGTGACCAGAGAGGGCAGGAAGAGTGCCTAAGTGTAAATGGGGGCTGATTTCGGTCCACAGCCTTTCTTTACAGCAGCAGCTGTAGACATTAAATTGACACTGAAATTTGTATTGCTGGATACATAGCTTTGCTACAGTGCCCAGCTATCAGTTGCTGCCACTGTAATAAGAAATAGCTTTTTGTAAACGTTCAAACACATCTGTTAATGCAGCCTTATTGCTTTCTTTAATTTGGACAGAGAGCTGCGTCGGGAAGTCATCATGTTGGCCTGCAGCTTCGGTAACAAGCACTGTCACCAGCAGGCTGCAACCTTAATCTCAGACTGGATTTCTAGCAATAGGAACCGGTGAGTGGAACTGGAATGTGTGTTTCCTGTGCCTCCTATTCAGAGGCAGTGCAGCTGGCATGGTGGTCTTCTCCTGCCTGCCCCCGTCCGCAGTGCCCCCTTCTGCAGAGCGCTGTGGGGGGAAGCAGAGGTCCCTGGCTCTTGTTTCATAATGTCTGTGGGGTTTCAGAATGGATTATCTGACTTTGCCTGTATGAGTGGGTGGAGGGGACACCCATGTACTCTCTGTCCACTCCTGATAAATTGCTGTCAGATAATTATATGCTAAAAGATGAGGGTTTTGAGGGGGAGTGTAAAAGAAGAAAGGTGAGTGAGCACTACATTGGCAGACAAACACAGAGCTTCTGTTGGGGCAGGAAATCAGCAGGTGCTGAGTGATTGAAGGTATGAGAGAGGTTAGAGGCAGAAGGATTGAGAAGAACAGAGGTGAAAGAATGCATTTGAGGGCAATGTTATGAACTACTTAAAGGTGAAGACTGAAAGTAATGTGATTCAGGAACACAAGGATAAGCTTGTGCAAGGTTTCAGAGAAGGGATCATATCATAGCTGATGTGTTGAGCATTCACAGCACTGTACTGGTCTGACCGTAAATATGTAAGGTAGGCTGCCCAGACACAGGTTTATTCAGCTAAGGAAAAGTTCATGGGCCAGGGATGGTGTATGAAGTTTATCTTTTAATGGCAACCATCTAAGAAATATTAAATTACTGAAAATACAAATATTTAAGTAAGTAGTGATCTATAGGCAATGGGGTAAGTACAGAATATAGGTTAAGACCATGACTTCTGGAGAAAGAATGATGGATTTATGTGGAATGTGGGTGTAAAAGGGTTTGTATAAGTACATCATATTATATTGTGGTTTAAGGGAAAATATTTTACTTTTAAGTAACAAAGAAAAACAGAAGAGGAAAGGTCTTTGATTTTGACATCCAGTCTTGCATTAACTCTACAAAAGGATCAGATCTCTGTAGACATATAGGCACATCTGATTGCTCAAAGACATTTTGGGCCACTTAGGTGTTTGTTTTCAATTACAATGTCTGTCTGTCTTTGTAATCTTTGAAAATCTTTTACAGGTCTACTCAGTTACATAAGTACCTGAATATCTTTTAAGACTAGCTATGAGGATAAATGGAAATTGCATTCCTATAGGATTTTGAAACTTCTGAAAAAAAATTATCTTGAAACTATAACTATGTACCTTTAAATAACATGTGTGTGAGAGTGAGGGTTTTCTTGTGTAAGGTATCAGATATATTTACTATGAAATAAATACCCCATGGTTTTATATTAATTCTTATCGTCAGCTGCAACAATTAGTATGAAACTATTCAAAGAGGAGATTAAAGAAAAAAGAATTGGAAACAATCTGCAAAAGTAATTTACTTAGATACTCATTTGCAAAATTAGTTAATCAAACCTAGCACCATCTATTAGCATGCACAGCAGTAGATTATTCAGTGCTAAAAAGCTGTCACCCTGCAAAGCTTTCTCCTACTCTGTGTCTTCATCCTTTCCAACTGGATTGAAGAAGGAGGCATCAGGGGAAAAAAAAAAAAGCTTAATGCTTTACTAACAATGGCAATAGAAGAAAGGAATAAATTTAAGGAGCCATCCGAAGATTCATCTTAGCCTTTCTATGGGGCCATTCTTGGGAGCAAAAGATTGTGGTTGCCAGCATATGACAAGTATTATGATAAAAGCATCACAGCGGGGGAGAGGAGAATAGCTACCAAGTTAAAGCAGTGCATTTCTCCAAAAGAATAGCACAGTTTTGAAAAATAACTGCAACAAATAATGTAATTACAGAATACAGATTGACAGTCAGCTGATAAATAGGGGTACAACTCGTAAAGAAGACAGAGATGTGTTTTTATTTATTTCTTAAGATTATAGGATTTGTTCAGTTCCCCACCCCAGAATTTACCAGTTGCTATCCTCAGAGCAGTCTCTCATACAGAATGTAACTAACATATGAGCAGACTCATCTCCTGTCTACTTACATTGAAATGACATTGCAAAGGCTACTTGTAAGAGCAATTCCACAGACATAAAATCAGCTTGTGTCTCACAGTAACATTGTAGGAGTCTGTCAGTGTTTCCTCTGGAATATTCAGATCCTTGCTTCGTCAGAGATACTCCATATCCCCTTTGCGTAGTTTAAACCAACTAAGACTGAAACTTGAAAGTAAAGCAGGGGCTGTTTTACCTGCTTTTCCCCCAAGAAAATGATGGTGATCTATAATCAGATTTTAATTAACATGATGCCTGAGTCATGCTTCTGCCTCTTTTAGCACTTCAGAGAGAGTAGCTAGCTCAAGTGTAAAGGGCAAGCAGATAAGTACAAGATACATGCAGAGAGCACGTCCAACAGGTGCCATTTTATATTCTTTCTCATCAGTCAAGTGTTTTGCTCAGTTTGATACCCTTAACAGCTGTTTGTGAATTTGCTGTAAACAGCCACCTTAGAATCTGTAGGAATCCCTCAGACCTTGTTACCTCACATAGAAAAGGAAACTCATGCTGCTTGCCTTTCTCCAGACTTCTCTGACAACTGATGAGGAAAGCTGCTGACAGGTAGAAAACTATATGTATCCTTTCCTGTTCCACTCCTCAATCAGCAATGAGTAAATTTGTGTCTGCTGAAAACTGCTCTAAAAGTTCTTGTAGGTGTCCCTCCCTCTTCTCAAACAGAACAAAGACATGGACCGATGTGTTGCAGAAAGCCTAGTCTTAGTGAGTTTGCAAAGCCAGAGCATGAAGACAGATCTCCAGTTGCTCAGAGGTATTTTATATACAGGTAGAATTTGAGTTTGACTGGGAGTGTAAAAGCAAAGGCTAATATGCAACCTTTCCACCCAACCCCTCCCAAAAACCTTATTCTGGAAGGTGAGATGTTCCATACAAAGAGCTAATTCATAATCAGTGCATGCTGGAAGAAGCACAAATTCTTCAAAGCAGTAGACCCCAAAATGAGACTATGGAATTAGGCTTGCATCCTGAGGTTGTAATCAATACAAAATTAGGATAGTATTAAATTAATATATGGTACTAAATAACACAGAAATGCACAGGCTGTATATAATGAAGGAGTTTTTTGATTCCCTGGCAGTTACTGCAGTTGAAGTTTGAATACGTATACCAGAGAATGTGTGATTAATAATAATGTAGAAATGCTAAAATTCATAACTTTTAAGCTATGTTTTTAATCTTTTTAGAAGTTCTTTTGAAACGTATTTTCTGTTTTACTTGTAGCATTTAATTATGGATAAAGTGTTGGTTATTAAACAAATACAGTAACGTCTAACTATTTTACCACCATATGCCTGCAGTTGGTATGGTTTTTAGTAATTATATTTAGTCTGGTAGTCCAGAAATTAATTAACATCTACTTTTCACTGTAGGGGATTGAAATAATCATAATAATCAGTTACTGTTTGTAATTACATGTTCTTTACTGTGCAAATAATTTGCCACTGTTCACCAAGTAAAATAACGGTCATTCATAGCACAAAGCCAGAGATCTTCTTAGTATTTCCAGCACGGTTTCAAAAAAGCCATTAGATTTCTAACTGTAGCACTGCAAATTTTTCTTATGGAATTGGTGGAAAAATAAACCATACATGTGATCTGCAACTGTGGCTTCCATGCATGAAAGTGGAATTCAGCTGAGAGGCTTGAAGGCTTGAATTTCTAAAGTGACTTAGGTGTTGCAGTGCTTCATTTTCCATCCTGATTCACAGAACAGAATCAGACACTTCCTACAGGGGGATTTGGAAACCTCTAGATGAAGCTGGTGTTGGCCACCCTGCTGATTGAAAAGCCTCTTAATATGAGACTGTAAAGGGAGAGCGTGCCCACTTAGGGTCCAACATACAGGTAGAAATGTACCTGTGTCAAATGAATATATAAATGGCAATCAGAGAATTAGGATTCCTTGCAGAAGTTGCCTTTCAAAACTGTCACTAAAGCCAGAAAGGTCCTTTTCAAACACAGCTGGCAGAGAAGCTACTCCTCAACCCTCTTTAAACACTACTACTGAGATTGGGGCAGAATTTCAGTTTAGTACTTCAGCCCTGCATCTGCAACATGCAGAAGACCACACTGATGACCTGTCACTGTCGTGTTTGGGACAGTACGAAGACTCTGCAACGCACTTTACTCCTCTAGTTGAAGCTCAGCCACTAGGTTTACTTCATTAGCAAAAGCTCTCCAGCCTAAAGATGAGATCATTCATCTGAGGGAGGGAGGCTTGAGTACCTGAAATACCAGGATTGCTTAGTATGCAGAGGACTTTAGGTGTTACTGCTCACTACCACTTTTGCAGGGCAGAATGTGGTGCTAAAACAAGGAACATAACTCTAAAAAAGAAGTTTGGCTCTACAAGGAGCAACCTAAACCCATAACATCAAATGTAGAAGAGGCTGTAAGAAGACATCTGGTTTTACTGCTTTACAAACTGGCATCATATTTTAATCCCTGCAGATGTTAAACAGGCAGTGATTATTTCTTTCAGCTGAAAACCTGAGATTAGACCTCAAGGTGTGTCTTACAGTCATAATCAATGAATTAAAAGTAATTTTGCTCTTTTTAAATGGCTGATGGCTCCAGTACCTTTTGCTTGAAGGTCTTCATTGACTTCTAACATGATAATTGATATGAAAATAAATTAACAGAGTGATTTTCACTCTGTTAAGTTGGGTATATGCTACTCCTGTATTGGAGCAATAAGAATCCTTGAAACTTCAATGCTGATAGTCTCAAGACTACAAACCTAGTAGAAAATACATCAGCATGTTAAAATTTTGTTTGTCATTTGAGAATGTATGTTTACTGGGATTCAGGAAACAGCAGAATGCTGTACAAGGAGGCTACTGTTGGCTGAAAATTAAGATGTTTGCTTCTACCTTCATTTAACTGAGCTCATCCCTGTGAAGCTCTTTCATGTGTGAAAAAATACATTATTCACACTCCTTAGATACAACAGCATTGTGGTT